ACAAGACCTAGAAATGATCAAATCCTGCAAACTACATTCATTAGACACAATGACAATTAAGACAGCAAAAAAGCATCGGGTTACCAGTTCACCACACTCACTGCAGCTCTGCACTGCAGAGTTAACACACACCAGCATCCAGCCCATGTCTCCCTTCCTGAAATACACTATGCTCAATGCACTGGCGAGTACAAAGATAGGATCCTCCCTAGGCAATTACTACACATGCATGACAAAGGAAAGGTGGACTGAAGAAGGAACTCTCATGTGATTAACACCAGCTGTTTTATAGAATATAATTCCAATATTTCCCATTCTTCCATCATCGACTGTAACAAAAGTTTAGTACATAACTACAATAGACTGTTTTGCCTAGAATTGAATCCGTCTGTCTGTTCGACTTAGCTTTTATTCAAGGTTTGAAAGGTCTGAAAAACAGAACTGCAGTGACATCCATTTATGTGACAGCCATTTCCCTTTATGTGAATCCATAAATGGAAAAATATTCTTGGGACGTAAATCATGTATATAAATGTTGTTGTTATTTCTGTTTGACACAATAAATCCCTCGTGTCCTCTTCTAAAGAACGAACCCCACCATGATTACACATTGCAAACCAAAAAGTTACCTAAAACCAGTCTCAATCTAATTTAGAAGTTTAATTTGCCAGGGTTAAGGACATGCTGGTGACACAGCCCCAGGAGGTCCTGAATACGTATGTCCAAGGTGATCTGGCTACAGTTTGGTGTTTACATGTTTTAGGGAGACAAAAGACATCAATTAATACATGCAAGATGTAAATTTCTTCCGTTTAGAAAGACAGGACCACAGGAAGTGGGAGAAGGTCGGGGCTCCAGGTCATAAGAAGGATTTCAAGATTTTCTGATTGTCAATTGTTTGAAAGAGTTTTAAAACCTGGAATCAATAGAAGAAAGTGTCTGGGTTCAGATAAGGGGCTGGGTAGACCCAGGTTTTCATTATGCATCTTTAAAACTGATGCTAAATCTGGCAGCAGCATGATTGGGTCCTAGAGTACTGACATAGTCTTGAATATGCTGTTTGTTTAAAAGAGCTTCAAAACGTGTGAGAGGCAGAAGGTTCCATTGACCCTTAGTGTACATTTGAGTTTCCATTTTCGGTTGACTCTTGTGTTGCTGCATGATGCCTCCAGTACGAGGCGGAGACCTCCATGTCTCCTCTCCTTCCTGCTGCCCTCCCTGGCCAGCCCTCTTCCACCCAGGGGGATGGCCCAGCAGCAACTCAGTTCGTGCTTGATAATCACCCACCTCCATACCCCACAACCAGCAAAGCTCCGTGAGTAACTCACAGCCACCAACCACCAGGGTGCTGAGCTTTCCTCTGTGTCCTTCCAGTATCTTCAAACGACCAGGCGAGCACCGTCGGACTCAGATCCTGGAAGGAGGAAGAAGACCAGGAGGAGCAAAGCCTCTATGTAAGACTCCTTTTCTTTGTCTTCTAAAGAAATTTTCCTTTTGTGATTTCTTCTCAATTAATTATGATACAAAAATCTGAAAATGTACACTATGTACAGTGTATGCAATTCTTTTTGTGGGGGTGAAGTTCAGTGGGAGTGTCTTCCCAACTACCATGCAATACACTGGGAGGTTTTCAAATGGCAGCCTCCATTATGGGCTGTGATGCAGAGGCACTGTCCTCAACATGTTTTCCTCCTTGCATTCAACATTGTGTGTTTGCCCATTAAATCCACTTTAAAGGTGAATTCTGTGAATAAAGATCTTATCTTTCCATAAGCATCCTCATGGTTTTCGGGCTGTTGACCATTGGCTCAGCCACTGTACCGCTTCTGGTTTTCTACCCTTGCCAAGAGAATAACAGCTCTATGTGAAGGGCACTGCAGAATCTCATCCTCATAATATTTTCTTTTGTTTAATTGCAGAAACTATCCCAGGAGAGGGTGAGAAGTAAGTACCGTGAAGTAACTCACTTCATGAGGGACCAACTTGCTGCTTGAGTGTATAGAACCCTGATTCTGGGATCCCGCTAGGAAGGAGGATTGGGGTCTCCTGAGAGAAAGTGATGTGGCCAATATAGAACTCCAGCCAGAGAGGCTGTAGGAAGGTTTGTCTATGCAGAGCAAAGACCAGGGAATGATGTGTGAGGCAGCATGGCTTCAGCTGGAGGAAGAGGCATGGGTGAGTCACTCTTTCTAATGACTTGTCCTGATGTTTTTGTTTCTAAAGGCTGGATTCTGGGGAGCGTCTTCAGGCTCACTGAAGACAACCCCCAAGGTAGGGAACTACTTTCCAGGTAGGACCTGATGGGAAAAGGTTCCTGAGAGCCTTCACGTTATCCCCGCTGCTTGAGGGGCTGAAGAAGGGAGTATGAAATCAGAAAGAAAATGAAAATGTGTGTGAGGTTTGGTTTGTTCTTTTCAAAGTTTGTTGTCATAAAGGTAGGAGCTGTCTCTCTGGGCTGTGAGGGTGCTGTGTTCGTTAGAGACGATCTTTGCAGTACACCCTCTCTTTTCTGCCCAGGGAAATATCAAAACCTTTAGTTTGGATTAATCAGCACTCCTTGGGATCATGCACAAGGGATGTAGGACTGGGCATTGAGTGTCATCTGTACTGGAAGGAAGGAATCTGTGGGAACATCTCTCTCACAGGCATTGACTTGAACTTAGAGAAAAAGTGCATGTGCCAAGGGGAAATTGATAATCACCCTCTAAACCTTTAAGATTTGTTATAGCACATTTAGGTTTCTGTCCTCTCTGTGGGTTTAAAGGGGTCTCCCAGGGGTGGATGGCAGAGTGAATGTTCGCTCTGGGCTCACTGGTACATCTCCAGTCTCCCGGGAAGACGGGAGAAGTCTGACCTTGATCATATTTGTAGCCTCCACTTCCCACCCCTATGACAGATTCTGAGATGAGGCTTCTTTCTCTCCAGTTCTCTAAGTTTTGGGGAAACCAAGAGTTCCTTCCCACAGAAGATGGCATTACACTATTTCCTGTCTTCAAAAATTAGACTTCTGTTGTTCTCTAAGTTGATATTTATAGGTTAAGTTCTGGACCTTTTATTCAAAGATTGCTAAAAGTTGTGCAGGAAACTCCTATGATAAAATGTGCTGATAGCACATAATTCTGTCCATGGTACGGATGACATTTTTATCTTTGGAGGATCCTCATTTTACATAATAAGATACAAAACTAAGTGGGCACCCTCTATCCAGTCTGGGGCACTTCATTAAAGACCTGAGTTTGCTGCTGACTGTCATTTGCTTTTCTTTATGACACTTTTGAACCACCTAAATATTGCCAGCACCCTCTTTTGGGACCCTGACATCTGAGAGGGTGAGATGGCACAGGTGCAGACATCCCCGTTCCTCCCTGAAATTTCCCTCCTCCTTTAACCTTCTCCCTTAATGGACCTGCTGTGACTGCTAATGACTTGTTTAGACCTCTCCAGGTCTGGACTATTATACATAGAATAAGTCAATATGTGTTTCTCGGTGTCTGGCTTTTTCGCTCCCATCATGATTTGAAATTCATTCATGTTCGTAAGTGTAACTGTACTTCTTCCATTTCCTTGCTGCATACCATTCCACCGTAGTCACCTGTTACAGTTTATCCACTCTACTGTTGATTGACATCGAATTTTCTTTTTCTGTTTTAAATATTGATGACTGTGAGAAGTAATGTTGCTTTGAGTATTTTTGTCAATGGTTTTGGAATACTACTGGCACTCATTTCTGTGAAGTAGATGGTTAGAAGGGAACATATCTTTTATTGTCATGAATAGTGCCAAGTCTTTTTCCAAATGGTGATGCTAATTCATGCTCCCATAGCAGCATATGTGAGGAGACATTTCTCCAAATCCTTGTGAACTTAGTTTTATCTCTCCCTAAAAATTCCATCACTGTGATTAGTCTTCCATTTGTATAGCATCTTACTTACAATTTTTAACCAAAAATTTTGTTTTAATCTAATGATGCAGGCCAGTAGGTTTGTGTACGGCCGTCTGACCCCAGCCATGTAAGTAATCATTGATCAAAATGTCATTATGCCTCATGACTGTCCTTAACAACTGCTTAAGTTATTAAAATGACAAGGATGACTGATACACATTTGAGTCTTGGATACTATGTGGTCACTTCTCTATGTTGCCTCCTTGAAGCATCACAGTCACTTTGAGGCATTATTAGTTTGGTTCTATTCATTATACAGATGAGGAGTGTGAGTCTCAGTTAAGCAAATTATTCACGAGACACACCCACAGCTGGATCTCTCTAACACCAAAGGCTAATCTATAAACTAACATGCTGCACTGCCTGTAGCGGCGAAGTAGACTTGCCGTGTCAAACAGAATCACCCAGTCCTCAGTTGTACGATTCAGTAAGCATCAGCACGCCATGAAGCGTGCTCCCTGCTGTGTTGTGGGGACAGAACATCTATCCCAGGCCTCTGTGGCCGCCCGTTCTGTCCTGTCCAATGAAGCTCTGTTCTGTTCCATTGGTTTACATCTCTGTTTCGGTACCAGTACCATGCTGTTTTGATTACTGTAGCAGTTGACTATGTTTCTGATCATGTTGACAGTATCCATTGAGAGAAACAGAACGTTGTGCAAACAATCCACAGCATGACGTGCCCCTCATAAAGCTTTGTTTCTGCGTTGCAGGTAGTGCCGGTGTTCATCTGAAGTGTGACTCTGGTAAGTATTCTGGAATTATTGTCAAGAAAAAGCTGGTGTCAATGTGAAGTGCCACCCTGATTCTGGGATTGTGATAGGAGTAAGCATAGTGAAAGTGTTCTTTAAAAACCTGAATTCCCCAGGGAAAAATCATGGCCAGATTTTGAGGCAGCAGCTGTGCTCCCTTTTGGGTGGCACTGAGTTGGGTGCTTGAGGATTGGCGGTGTCTTGTGTGAGGCTGCATCATGTGATGTGAATGTGGAGCTTCTGTGCAGGCGAGGCTGTGTGTGTTCTCAGGAGAGAGTTCCCATTTACACAGTCCATTCGCCAGTGTCCACTTCTAAAAATTAAAATCCAGCCCCACTCTACTCTGTCTGTACAGTGACTCCTCCAACCTCACCAGAGCCATCCCTGGGTCTGGTTTATTATCCTCACTGCTCAGGTGGAGACCCTGAAGGGCCAAGGGGTGGCCCAGCTCCCAAGTTCCTGAATGAAAAAGAGAAAACACGAACCCAGGAGTGTGGGCCTGTGCTGACACTGGCAACTACTGGCATGCTCTTAGTCAGGGTGCGTTCGCCACCACGCAGGGAGTCCAGCATTCGTGTATAAGCCCTAAGGAGGTCCCAGACACTGCCCATC